CTATTTATTAAATATATTGAATATAATATATTCTTCATGTTTCAACTAAAAGTGAGTGGCTTAAATGACATTTATTTATATTAATACATTTGTGGAGCATCATCCAAATAGTGGAATAATCCACAAGCTAATGGTATCCACGAGCTGGTGGTCTTTATTATTGGTTCTAACTTAAAGAGATAAATCTCTCTTTGAGAGGGGGAGTAGGAATACATAAGCAACAAAAATAAACTTTCATATTTTACTTGGCATGTGCTTAACTTGCTGCTTGAATATATTTTGAAACTCATATTTTAGCATTGTTTATTTTGATGACTCATGTCACCAACATTTATATTTAATTCTAAATTATTGTGCCACTTTAATGTTGATGTATCTCATGTATTATTGACTATTGATAAACTAATGGCATTTTGTGAAGTTCTATGTTTAGAATGAATGTTTACAGGTCTCAAGAGTTTGTTAACTCCTTGGCTTGGAAGACTCGGAAATATGTTATCAGCTTCTAAACTTATCAGTTCATCAGAAAATACTATTGGCCTTTGAGCCCATTAGCTATTGGCTTTTTTAGCCCATTCAATCTACAAGAGCTTGTGTCCATCAACTATCAGCTTCTCAGCTCATTTGTTCTATGAAAGTTCAGTTCAATCTTAACTCTGCAAAGCACAACCTTCAAAGGGGTTTGATTTTATGCTATGACTCGAGAGACCAAGATTTTCTTATGGGCATCTCAAGGTGGGATTCTATGGTAGGCATCTCCAGCAACCAAAATTGGCATTCGATCAACTCTACAAAAACTGGTTCTGGTCCTAGCTCTATAGAGCATGATTGTCAGAAGTCTGACTTCCAATATTATGGCTCATGAGGTTGCAAATCGTCACTTTCGAGTCGTCATTTTCAGGTCATCATTCTCAGCTACAACCATAACACATGACTATGGGTCATGCATCTTTACTTCGGCTACGGCCATAGTGACCACGAGTCACCAGTTCTACTTCGGCTACGGCCATAGTGACCACGAGTCACCAGTTCTACTTCGGCTACGACCATAATGACCACGAGTCACCAGTTCTAATTTGGCTCTGGCCATAGTGACCACGAGTCACCAGTTCTAATTTGGCTACGACCATAGTGACCACGCGTCACCAGTTCTACTTCGGCTACGGCCATAGTGACCACGAGTCACCAGTTCTAATTTGGCTCCGGCCATAGTGACCACGAGTCACTAGTTCTACTTCGACTCCGACCCTAGTGACCCCGAGTCACCTATTTTACTTAGGCTCCTACCATAATGACCACACATCACCTATGTTACTTCGGCTCTGGCCATTGAGTCATCATTTTTACTTAGGCTACGGCCCTAACACATGACTCCACGTCATGCATTTTTACTTAGGCTACGGCCCTAACACATGACTTTGTGTCATGCACTTTTACCTCGGCTACGGCCTAAAACACATGACTCTGCGTCATGCATTTTTACTTAGGCTACGGCCCTAACACATGGCTCTGTGTCATGCACTTTTACCTCGGCTACGGCCTAAAACACATGACTCTGCGTCATGCATTTTTACTTAGGCTACGGCCCTAACACATGACTCCGTGTCATGCATTTTTACCTCGGCTATGACCCAAAACACATGACTTCATGACATGCATTTTTACCTCGGCTACAGCCTAAAACACGATTTCATGTCATACATTGCTATATTTATTACCCCCATCTACACTCATCTTCCACACTAATCATTCACAAGTGAATGACTCTGGGAGGGGGAATAGTGTAAGGGTAGTAATATAACTAGCCCATAAACATAGTGAAGGCCCATGAGGCCCAAATACAAAAGAGCACATGCATAAGTTACTATAGAGTTCATATACACTCAAATAGATCCAAAGGGACCAACAGAAGGGAAACACATGTCCAGCATTCCCAAAGGATTTATAAATACCCCCACACCTCTCAAAGGTATGGGACTCCTCCTTTAGTATTTCTCTCTAATACTCTCCATTCTTCCTAAAGAGCTCTAAGTGTAGACTATTGCTGACTTAAGCATTGGAGTGTCTACCCCGAGAACCACCCTCGAGGCTTTGTAGGTTTATTGGACAAGAAGATCTGAGCAAGGAAGGCCTTGAAGGTTTCCAGCAACAACAGTTTGCACATGGATCACATTAGAGGGATTTAAATATGTGCTTCTAGCATGACTTAAATCACACTTTATCACTTAAAGCAACCCTAATAAAACAGT